ATGAAGAAAAAATGAATTTTGATGAGATTTTGTACATAAATGAAACAGGTAAAATATTTAGAACAAATCAAAGTTTTTAATGTAAAAAGTTGATGGGCTGTCTTATTTTTATTCACAACTGATTCAGACACTAAACTTAATATTTGGGATCTCCATTTTCATGTTTACCAACCTGTCAGGACTAAGGTTAGGTTTATATTATATGTACAGATTAGGTAATATTGGAGTTGAAAAAAAATATAAAATAATCTCTTCAGTGTAGCTAAGAAAAAAATACATGGTGGTAGCAAAAATTGTCAATGATTAAATAAAAGTGCTCCTGCTATTGTATAGATTTCTTTGCAGATATTCTCTGTGTCTCACATACACACAGAGGGGTATCTAAAACCAAGAGTGCCCAGATCATGTAACTATATTTGGACTATGTAACAGAAGCAGCAGCTACTTCAACAGGTGCAGAATTAATTTTGTTTTTAGCTTTGAACACAGTCCTAATAAATGTTTAGTGAATTCTGTTACAGAAATAAGATTGATTTAGCAATTTAGTTTTCAAATGAATACAACCCCTCTGCAATATTCTTTATTTGAATTTTAAATTAGTAAGCTATTAAAATACCTGTTGTGAATTTTATAAGATTAGCATAATCTTATAGAATGAGCACCAGTAGTTCAGTACTCTAGTGCTGCAATAATTCAACCCCTGAATAAATACAAACATCACATCAATCTACACCATAGTTTATTTAAAGATACAATACAGGCCAATTCACACACATCACATATATATTACGATATCACCTTGAATGGTACTTTGTTTAAACATATCACAATAAATATTTAGCAAACAAGGGAAAAGTAAAAAATGGCCAGCAAATAATGGTACTACACATTTCACAAAATCAAATACAGCATCAGTATAAAATGGACAATGTTTCACCATACTAGTGCACTTAACTGTCCTGCTTTACTTTGAAAATAAAACCCAGTTGTTTCCTTTACTGTCAAAAGGTGGAAATTTACATACATAATAAATATTAAAGCCGTAAGCATCACTCCAGGTTTTGCAGATTTTAGACAGATTTGTTCTCTAGTCACTGGTGATAAGTGTAGAAAATGATAAATATGGTGTTACTAACTTGAAACATTATGAATGTACTAAGAACAAACTGAAACACTTGATTGGAGAATCTGATGGGTGTAAAGGCTGGAGAAGTATAATGTGTAGAGGTGGTTTGATTTTTTTAAACTTAATTTTGATGATAGTGGGTATTTCCAAATTGCTACTACTTTTTAATGAAATTTATTTTGGTTTTGAAACACACTCTGCACTGCATTATGTCATTATGTCACACTGAAATGTTAGGGTTTAAGAAAGGAACTTTGGAAACTATTATTTTATAACTTTAAACCCTCAAATATATGTGCATTTATTTTTAATAACTAGGTATACTTATGAAGAAATTATGTAAATTAGTTAATATAATCATGATGATCTTCAAAAACATTGAGTATCTGGGTAATATTAACTGTTGATACTTTTATCATAATTTAGAATTAACTAATGTCACTGCATTGTATGGTAAATTTTATTTTGAAGATGATCTTTTTATCTTTCCCTAATATATTTATAAGAATAAAGGAGTTGGTTTGTAGGTGAATATTAGTTGCTTAAGATAATGAAATCTACTAAAGGTGAGTCCTTTTAAAAAATAAACTCTTAAAATATTATTTTAATAGCAAAAATATGCTCTAGGTAAATTCACAAAGTGCGTATTTTATCGTTTTCATTAATATATTCTACAATTTAGAAGAAGAAATTGGTATTGTATGTCCATTTATTTTTCTCAAAGAGCCTAAAAAAGAATGATTTTTATAATATATAATATAAAGAAAAATTGGTGCTTTCAAAGTAATGCAAAACCCCAAATTTAAAACTAAAAAAAAAATCTTTAAAACCTATGCTGCAAACATTTTCATAATCCTCGAAAGACTAGCATAAGCCAGCTCATTTTAAAGAAGAAGGAATATTGGTCGGGGGAGTCCATGGTATTCTGGCCCCTACATTTTCACATCATCATTCCTATCCAACTGTTTTAATTTTACGGATGTTACAATTTTGGATATCTTGCTTTAGTATGGAAAATATACAATTTTTGAACTTTTTTTTTATAACTTAACAAAGGTATCAAGTAGACATATTTACTCCAATCATAATGTTTACCTTAGTATTCATTCTGTCCTGGTTCCTGAAGGTCAAAATGTGGGGAGACATGCTGGGGTAGAGTTTAAGGGTCAAAGGTACGGGAGACTTGAGATAGGAGTTAATAAGTGTATGGTGAGAGTTGGACAGAATTTGGGAATCGACTGAGGGAAAGGAGCATGATAAATAGGGTATAGTAAACATGAGGACAATATCATTTTGGAATTAGATGGGGAGAGGAGGAAAGCAGAGAAGATACCCAAAATGGTGTAGGGGTGAGGAAAAAAACTAAAGTGTCGGGGAATGAGGTATGCATGATATGGTTGGCGATAAGAAGTATTGGGTTGGGGATAAGAAAGGTTAAGGATGTCGTACGGTTAGGACAGGTTGAGGGACGCTTATAGGGGATTAGTGTATCTGAAGAAAGTGTAAACTTTAGGGTTATTTGTTCATTTTATTAAGTAATGAAATAAATCAAGAAATAAAAATATTCTCTTCCAAATAATAAAGCAGAACTTCATTTACTTTAAAGCTATAATTTTATTCTAATTTTTGTTTTCTTAGATTTCCTCTCATTTTCCATAAATTTGTCTTCCACATCAGTGAGGCTCTCTGCTCTTGAAATATTTACTGAAAAAGGCACACGTATTTTGTAACCTATGATATGTTAAAAGCACTTTGCTATATTTTTGATTTTTATTTCTAAAACATGCTTAAAACAACGATTTGATGGAAATATAACGTGATTAATGACACATTTCTGACAGCTTTATGAATTTTGTTATGAAGTTTGCTTATTGAAAAAAACTATGTTCTTTATTCTCTCTTTTGTCTAATAATGATGTTATTGAGTGACTCAGAGAATTAATTTGGTATGGAGAACCCTAAGAAATAGGTCATAATCTCTGAAAATAAATAATGATGTGCTCAGTTTAATAAAAACTAATAGTATTTAGAAGAATAAAAGCAAGGCTATAAAAACTTTCAGTACAGGATTGAGAATAATCTTCTTAGACCATCTTCATGTTTGATTTTTCCTTGACAGTTTCATTTAATTTCATAAAAATTTACAGAGAAGTAGCTGGCCACTTTACATACATTTTTATATTTAAGTTTTAAGCCACTAAACACAATATCCACAATTATATGGATCATGAGGAATAGCACTCACAAAGCAGGGTTTTGTTGTTGATGAAGTTGGTGTTTTCGTGACTGTCTTCAATTATATATTAATATTATATATAATTGAATCAAACTTTGCTTACTGTCTCTCTTTCTACTTGTTTTTGATAAACATTCGGTCTTGATAAATAGTTTCTCAGTTTCTATTGTACTCATTATTTTTCACTCACAAGGTTGTTTCTTTTGAAAATTAGAACACAATAGTTATGTTCCCGAAAGTCGGTGTGATACGAGAGCATGTTAAGCAAGGTGATCTCTGTTTGGTGTTTTATTCTAAGTCAAATATTGGAAGTAACTCAAGTATGGTAGCCTGTATCTTTCTGTTATTTCTGTGGTTTTGCCACACTATGTGAAACTTAGGTTACTCAAGTCTGAAATGGTATCCCATCTTCTTGGTTGGTAAGAAGTAGGAGAAAAAAAAATAATCTCACTACATTTACTAATTTTCTGAGGTTAAAGCCCTGGTTCATAAAACGCATGCTGAACCATAGGAACTGAAGGGAGGGAGGCTAGCTAGCCTCTTTACCTCCTTCCTCAGAGCACAAAGAAATCTTCTAAAAAAGGCAAGAGTTTGCCTTCATATCAAAGACCCCTTACACTATGTGTTAAGGCACATAATAAGGGGTTAGGGGGCAACCTATTGTTTAAATTGCCCTTGGATTTGTAAAAACAACAGCAACCATTTTTCAGGAAAGTTGAAAACTTAAATGTACAAATTGAATAATGGCCCGAGTGCCCTAAAACTCAGCACAAATTTTATATTACACATGAATACAAAGTAATGAGATTAATTTCCCAAGTAATTTGTCAGTTATTCTCATAACCTTCTGGTAATATTTTATCTACCTTACAAGATTTATGAAATAAATGTTCCAGAAAGCCATATTTTATACATAAGTAGGGTTCATTAATTTGAATACTGGGCTGATCACCTGGGTCAATGAAATGCTATCTTCATTGCTCTTGGAAGAGTATCCTACTCATTCATCTCATAAAAGTTTTTAAGAATTTTTATCTTCTACCATGACTCTTCTTATGCAAATCAACAGAGTAGATGGGAAAGGTAAAAAAATTAACTTTCAAACCAAAAGCATTTTTTTATCACATAGTATTTTAGGTATCCTGTGGTGCTGTTATTATTGTTTTATATTATTAGCATCACAACCACATATGATATTTACAGTTCTACAGTTATTTGTCTCCTTGTATTGTTAAGGCTTCCCATAAATATTTACAATTTTGATGTGTATATGTAAAAAAACCACAATTAGTCATATTTAAATACTCTTGTTAGTGAACTTTTCCCCAGATGTCTTTTTAAAATATTTTAGTGAAGTATTATACTCAAGAAATCTCCTGGACTCTAGCTTTCATTAAATAAATGTCTTGGACATTAAGCTAGACTAATCAGAATAAATGACAATACCTCTGAGATCATTTTTATTTGTCTTTCAAAGTATTCAAGAGGACTTGAAATTACTAGGAGACATTATCATTTGAAGATTACTTGGTATTTTGTTCAATGAAGAAGTCCACATCTACAACACGCTACTCCAACTAGATTATTCCATATACAATTGATGACTGCATATGGGATAAACTAGCTAGCAACAATCTAGTTTTATCCAATCTAATAAATAATTATCACAAGTTTAGTAATTATGTTCATTTTGTATTCATAATTTAGATATGCCATTTAGTATTTTGAGTTGTCAAGTTTGTACATGTCTGTGTTGATGTTAAGTGTCTTAGTTTGTTTCTTCAATGGACAGCATTGTAAAGTATCATTTTTTATAACTGGTATTCACCTATCTTTGAGAGCTCAGTGAGTGGAGAACATACCATACGTCTGGAGGTTCTATCACTATTACCCATGTAAACACTAAAACCACTGACCCCGGGAACTCCAGCATTGTCTCTAAGAACTTGAGGATTATCTATGGGCATTCCAACATTAACCATGGGGATAGTATTGACATCATTCTTAGGGATTCTAACATTGCCTCTGGAGCATGCAGAAGTATCCTCAGGAATTCCATTGTTTCCTTCAATTGTAGAATTTTCAAATCTTGGCTTGATGGGAAGATGTTCTCCAGAATGTGATGGAATTTCTCTTTGCCAGGCTTCCTCCATGTTGTATCTTTCCTCGATATTTTCTAAAACACAAAGCCAGAAATTTGTAACTGATTAACAGATTGGCTTCAGTTTTGAGAAGAAGCTATAAATAAGAATGAAAGATGTATTTCCAAATTTAATTTCAGTGCAATTACCTCAAAATGACATGGTGATTTTTACCACAGTAACTTTTATTTAGCAATTACACTTTTGGATGCAAAAGATGGACAAGAAAAAAGTGAGTAAATGATTCTAAACCAGACGTTTAGGTTTATTAGCAAAATCATCTTCAGGAGTTTGGGGATGCTATTTTTAAAACAATACTTCTAATTTGCAGACCTTTTATGAAGTTGTAGAATTGGGGTTCTAACAGAAGTTAGACATGAAAATTCCAAATACCATTCAGTATACACAGGAGAAATTTTATATATGCTTATATAGGTGTAATGATAAAACCAAAATGTTGTTTTATAGCCAGTAGCAAATTTCAATCTAGGATTTAATATGTTATAGATATAAATTATGCAAATATTACTTTTAAGCAATTATAGATTAAATATTAATGGTTTATATGCCAATTCATACTTTCTTGTCAATATCTCCTCATATACAAGAGGAGATAAAGAAGTTATCTGTTGGTTTTTAACTAGATGATTATTAATGCCCATCATCACATAATTTCTTTTTTATTATCTACTACTTAGTCATTAGACAACAAGTGTGTTAGTGGACACATTTTTCTATTCTATGGGTTAAAACTCAATGAATGAGGACTTTTCATTTTCTCACACCTTTTAAAAGATCAATTTTTGTTCCTAACTTGAAGTCTTAAGAAGTCTGTATATTCTAGAACCCACTTCTGATGATTATTAATTGGTATGTAATTGAATTAACCCAACAGCATCAGGCTGTAATCACCAAATATGAATATAAGACTTACATTTGTGGAAGAGAAACCAATTCCATCATAAAATGTTTTATGATATAGAAAGGGATAATCTAGGTGGCAAGCTTGAAGATAAACTTACTGGTGAAAATCTACTTATATGAAAAATTATATATAACTTAAAAAAGTAGTGACAACAAGAAAAATCTTACCTTCTGTTATTAAATTATGGTCAAGTGGAAAGAAGTGAGTTTCTTCTTCATTTAATTTGAATTCAGGTGCATTTAAATATTGGCCTCTGGCTTCACTGTATCTTGGTAAGCTTTGACTGCGCTGCTGCTGGAGCTTAGGACTCCCTGGCAACAAGGGGAAAGGGCTTTGCAAAGCTTGGACATGTTGATCCTTAGTATGGATGGTCACTTGATTCTCTTCTTCTGATGTTAGTTTGTTGCAATCCATATCTTGGTTTTCTTCCTTGGGAATAGTTTGGAGAATATGGAGCCCCTCACTGTTTAGTGGTGCCTCTAAGAGCTCTGCCCAGGAACGCCGATAGATGAATCTTTCTCTAAAAGGATACATGCTTCTTGCTACTTCCATATCATCACTTCCTGGGGACTCTGAATTTTCTGGAGATTCCATCCACAGATTTCTTGGGGTTCCTGGGCGACTGTATTCTGAGGATGGTGAAGATTTATTTAGTAAAACCTCCAGGTGTACAAACCCAGTGAAGTGCAAAGTTGGAACTTCTGTATCATCTAGATCCTCCTTTCCAGGCACACCTGCAACAAGTATTGCAGTGCCTTTCCCCCTTTCCTTGGGATTGACAATTCCTGTAACGTCTAAGCGTTGTAATTCTGGGAACCATAGAGAAATTGGTACTTTCTCTATGCGAAGAAGACCTGAAGTTTTTGGTCTTACAAGGGCAATGCTTTCTAACTCCTTAGTTAGTGGTGGGGTGGTAGCCTTTACATGACTTGTAAGCCCCAAGTCCCTCTGATGGATACCTTCACGATTGGGTTGCTGGGAGGCCAAAGTTGGATTCTGTTCGTTTTGTTTTCTGTCCCTTTCCTGAATTTCCGCATTAATAGGACGGAAATAAATGAATTCATCAGAAATATTTTGAGGATGTCTGTATTGGAAGTTTGGATTCACAGAAACAATCTGAAAGAAAATTGAAGTTCAAAGATACAGTTCATTATGTCAACACTTTGAATAATACTCTTGATTCTGATACGTTGTATCTTTTATTGTAAGGACAGGATAACACTAACTTAGACACAGCAGACATAAGTTGATTGCTCCAAATTGAGAAATATGAAGGATTCCCCAAAAGTGGTCTATTTATTTCAGAAACATATTATTTTAGTCTAGTGTTTCCCAAGTTTATTTACTAATAACCAATCAAAGACTGTATTATCCTCTGAGAACATACATTATCTATGGCCAATAGTTTGAAAAACAATTTATAATTCTTATAACTTCATACTCACTTAAAGGTTCCTAGAAATATATTTAAAATATGTTTCTATTTTTGTATGTCTGTCCATGTGTTTGCCATGTATGCATGTGTGCATATGCATGTGCATGTACATTATGTATGTATGTGTGAATGTAAGTACACTCATTTTATAGCAGTTGTATGGACAGAGTAAAACTTTGTATAATCAGTTCTTTCCATCCATCTTGTTTCCGAGGCACCGTGTCTCTTGTTATTTTGGCTGCTTGAATGTGTGCCACAGGAGTGCTAAGGTTACAGATACAAGGTACCACATCTGATATTTTTAAAAATTGAGTTCTGGGGATCAAATTCAGATATTAGAGTTGTGTGGCAAGAGATTTTACTTGATGAACCAAGTAAATAAAATCTTGAAGCATTTGCCCCTATAGGTTGCTAGTTCTGAAAGACAAATTGTCTTTGAGAACTCTGTTAAAATGAAAACCAACCAAGCTACAGTTTATACTTCCAAAAACCTCAGTCTCTAGGCCACTATCACTTGGCCAGTCACTTTAGGAACAGGCAGAGATGGTTCAGCGGTTAAGAGCACTGCCTGCTCTTTCAAAGGTCCTGAGTTCAATTCCCAGCAACCACATGGTGGCTCACAACCATCTGTAATAGGATCGGGTGCCCTCTTGAAGAAGAAACCTGGTCATCCATACTCATCAACTTAGACCATAAACTCAATATTGACAAGCTCAACAGAACCACCAAATATAGGCTGCCCATGCATACTTCAGCATTGCCAGGACATAAATTTCAAATTCATTCACTGGATAACTAGGAATAGCTCCTATATCAGAGAATCAAGAATTATTTAAGCTAACCTGTTTGCTTTGCTGCATAATCACTGATTTTGGTGGTTCCCACGTTTCCCCTATCTCATGTCATAGTATGTCACTTTTCTTAGGATGTGTGAGCATAGTGGACTATATTTTCAATGACTGTCATTTACTGATATGTCTGTTAACTCCACAAAGTATGATGATATGTGAAAAATAAACATACTGAACATTTATATTTGCACATGATAACTGCTCTTAAACTGTGTACTTTGATCCTACACCCACCACCACCAAGTGATTCTTGAACATTTTCAAAACCTCCAAAAGAAATCCCAGGATATCAGTAAAAGTAAAATAAAAGTTTTTCCAATAAGTACAATAAAAAAAGCTGAAAGAAAATATCAAAATCAACTTCTAAAACTCTAGAAAATAGTCAAAAGCTTGGAGTAATTTCTGCTCATTTGTTTAATATGGGTAGCTAAGCTTGTTGCATTTTCATTTTCCCTGTTCCAACATCACTGTCTACCTCCAGTTTTAGAGATGCTTTACAAACCAACAATTTAGAATCATGGTGAAAACTCAGGGCCTAGCAACCACTGAAGGAGATGAAATAGAATTAAACCACCTTCACTTACTCATTCTCATGGACTTATCATGAATTGACTTGCCTGTCACATTGTAGTCTAATAAAAAATAGGGAAAAGAAAAAACAAACATGCAGACATATACATGAACACACACAAGCAAGCCATGGTAAAATTCATCACACTCATTAACTATTGGTAACGTTTGATTTGGTCTTCATGTCTTTTTCTAACTTTCACCATACAATATTTGTATAAATTAAATCAAAGAAAGAGTGACACTAAAGTAACAGTATTATATTGAAAGCTTCAGACTAATATTTATCAGTTACATGCTGTGTTATTAACTTGAGTATGAGTTTCATTGTTTTCTAATTCTGTGGCATTTATTATTTTAGTTTTAATATTTATAAATATTTAATATTAATAATTTAATATCATTTATATTAGTAAAGAAAAGTTCATGTATTTGATAATTTTCTTATTTTATTATTTTGGGAGTGATAATGTGAAGAGATCTTTGTGATTTGATTAGAACAGGCTTTCTCCCAGAATACTTCCATATGATGGTTCCAAAACAATATAAGTGGTTTTATAAAGTTGTTACATATTAAACTATATATTGGACAAAAAACTAAAACACAATTTTAGAAGAGTTCCCTGGTTTACATTCTCATCAATAATATATAAGAATTCCTCTTTATGCACATGTATCCTCACCTGCATTTGTGGTTATTTTTGTTTCTTGATGATAGCCACTCTAATTTCAGTGAGATATAATTTCAATGTTCTTTTAATGTGGATTTTCACTATAGCTCAGAATGCTGATATTTTAAAATATATATTAGCCATTCGTGTTTCTTATTTTGAGACCTATCTATTCAGTTCATTGACTGATTTACTGATTTACTGATTGGCAGCTTATAGATCATATATATATATATATATATATATATATATATATATATATATATTCCCTGTCTGAAAGTGAAGACTTTCTCCCATTTCTTTTTTTAAAATATTTTTATTAATTAATTTATTTGTTTATAAAAATTTCCACTTCCTCCCCTCTTCCCCATACCCTCCTATTCTCCCCACTCCCTCTCCTCCTCCCCACAACTCCCTCTCCTCCTTCCTCTCCAGTCCTAAGAGCAGTTAGGGTTTCCTGCCCTGTGGGAAGTTCAAGTTCCTCCCCTCTCCCTCCAGGTCTAGGAAAATGAGCATCCAAACAGACTAGGATCCCAGAAAGCTAGTACATGTAGACAAAACAAGACCCAGTGCCACTGACAATGGCTTCTCAGTCAGCCCCCATGTCAGTCACATTTAGAGACTCCGGTTTGATCACATGCTCGTTTAGTCCCAGTCCAGCTGGCCTCGGTGAGCTCTCATTCGATCAGTCCCCTTGTATCCGAGGGTGAACGCATCCCATTCGGTTCTGATTTCCTTTTTCATGATCTCTCTCCTGCTCCTCATTTGGACCTTGGGGGCTCAGTCAAGTGCTCCAATGTGGGTCTCTGTCTCTATCTCCATCTATCGTCAGATGAAGGTTCCCTCTAGTCCTGCCTTTCTTGCTCATGTTCTCCCTCCTTCTGCTTCTCATTTGGACCTAGGGAGTTAAGTCCTGTGTTCCAAATGTGTGTCTCTATCTCTATCTCCATGCATCGTCCGATGAAGGATCTATGGTGATATACAAAATATTCATCAGTATGGTTATGGACCAGGGCCAGTTCAGGTACGCTCTTCTCTGCTGCCCAGGAAACAATCTGGGGACCTCTCCTTGGGCCTGGGAACCCCTCCAGAATCAAGACTCTTGCAAACCCTAAAATGGCTCCCTTAGTTGAGATATATACTTCCCTAGTCCCATATCCATCCTTCCTCCCCCCTCTCATTCCCCCAAACCATCCCCAATCCTCCCCCTCTCCCTTCTCTCTAACCATCTCCCCTTACTTCCGCCCCCCACCCCACCCCCCCTGCATCCAAGTTTGCCTGGCAATCTTGTCTACTTCAAATATCCAAGAGGATAACTATAAGATTTTCTTCATGTTCACCTTCTTATTTAGCTTCTCTAGGATCACGAATAATAGGCTCAAAGACCTTTAACTATGGCTAGAATCCACTTATGAGTGAGTACATACCATTTTCCTCTGAGTGAGGTCTGGGTTACCTCACTCAGTAAAGCGTTTTCTATTTCCATCCATTTGCATGCAAAATTCAAGATGTTATTGTTTTTTACCGCTGAGCAAAACTCTAATGTGTATAAGTTCCACACCTTTTTTAACCATTCTTCTATTGAGGGGCACCTAGGTTGTTTCCAGGTTCTGGCTATTACAAATAGTGCTGCTATGAACATAGTTGAACAAATGCTTTTGTAGTATGATAGGGCATCTCTTGGGTATATTCCCAAGAGTGGAATTGCTGGGTCCTTCATCCAGGTACACCTTCCTCTCTTCCCCCCTTCCCCCTGGGGCCACAAGATCTCCCCAGAGCAGCTCCCTTGCACACTGGGCCTGGGCTGTGGGCACAACCTGGCAGGGGCAGTTCCTGTGTTTTGATAGCCTGCCTGAGGACAGGCAGGCCATGTGTCAGCTCAGCCACATTCCTGGCCAGCAAGAGGCAATGATCTTCTAGCAGACATCCATTGGAGGAGGGGTGAGTGTGCTCCTAGCCTGAGGGCTTTGACTAGGAGGAATTCAGACTTTCCCTGCCCACCTCGACTTCCTGGTCACCCTGCAGTGGTGGCTCCACCCTGCGGAGCTCTCCCAAATTCCATCCCAGCCTTCATCCGGTACACCTTCATCTCTTCCCCCCTTCCCCCTGGGCCCACAAGATCTCCCCAGAGAAGCTCCCTTGCATGCTGGGTCTAAGCTGTGAGTGCAACCCGGCAGGAGGGAGTGCATGTGTTTCAATAGACTGCCGCAGGAAAGGTAGGCCTTCTGTCAGTGAAGTCCCTGCCCAACAAGGGAACCTGACCCAGTGCCAGAAGATACAATAGAGAGCATTTGAAGGAAGAGATGGGCAGACGCCAAGGCAAGAACTCCTCCAACAATCTAAAAAACAACATGAAAACACCAGATCCCAACGACCCTACAATAGAAGGACTTGAACCTCTTAATTCAGAAAAAGTGGAAAAAAGTGCCATTATGAAAGCAATAGAGTCCCTTAAACAGGATATGAACAACTCCCTTAAAAAACTGGATGAGAAGTACAACAAAAAGATTGAAGAAATGAGTAAAGAAATGGATGAGAAGTATAACAAAAAGTTCGAAGACATGAGTAAATCCATGAATGATACACTGGGAAACCAAGAAAAAACAATCAAACAGGTAATGGAAACAGTTCAAGAATTGGAAACTGAAATGGAGGCAATGAAGAAAACACAAACCGAGAACCGGCTGGATATGGAAAATCTAGGTAAACGAACAGAGACTACAGAATCAAGCATAACTAATAGGATACAAGAGATGGAAGAACGAATCTCAGAGTCTGGAGATACCATAGAGAAAATAAATGCTCTGATCAAAGAAAACAGCAAATCCAACAAATTCTCTTCACAAAACATTCAAGAAATCTGGGACACAATAAAAAAAACCAAATCTAAGAATAATAGGGATTGAAGAAGGAGAAGAACTGCAGATCAAAGGCCCAGAAAATATATTCAACAAAATTATAGAAGAAAACTTTCCCAACCTAAAGAATAATATTCCTATGAAGGTTCAAGAAGCATACTGAACACCGAATAGACTGGATCAAAAAATACCATCCCCTCGCCATATAATAATCAAAACACAAAACATACAGATTAAAGAAAGAATATTAAGAGCTGCAAAGGAAAAAGGTCAAGTAACTTATAAAGGTAAACCTATCGGACTTATACCAGACTTCTCTAGGGAAACCATGAAAGCCAGAAGGTCCTGGATAGAGGTACTGCAGAAACTAAGAGATCATGGATGCAAACCCAGACTACTATACCCAGCCAAGCTATCATTCACTATCAATGGAGAAAACAAAATATTCCAGGATAAGAACAAATTTAAACAATTCGTAGCCACAAACCCAGCCTTACAGAAAGTAATAGAAGGAAAATCGCAACCCAAGGAATTCAACATTGCCAACACTGCCTACAATAACTCAGACATCTAGCGACCCTTCACGAGCTTAACTCAAAGAAGGGACACATACAAACTCTATTAAACAAACAAACAAAAAATAACAATAACCGGAGTCAACAACCACTGGTCATTAATATCACTTAATATTAATGGACTCAATTCACCTATAAAAAGGCACAGACTAAGAGATTGGATACGAAAACAGGATCCAACATTCTGCTGTTTACAAGAAACACACCTCAACCACAAAGACAGACATCTACTCAGAGTAAAGGGTTGGGAAAAGGTTTTTCAAGCAAATGGACCTAAGAAACAAGCAGGTGTGGCCATTCTAATTTCCAACAAAATTGACTTCAAACTAAAATCAATCAGAAGAGATGGAGACGGACATTTTATACTCATAACAGGAACAATTCATCAGGAGGAAGTCTCAATCCTGAATATCTATGACTCTAATATAAAGCCTCCTACTTATGTAAAAGAAATACTTCTAGAACTCAAGTCAGTCATCAAACAACAGACACTAATAGTAGGAGACTTCAACACTCCTCTCTCACCAATGGACAGGTCAATCAGACAGAAACCTAACAGAGAAATAAGAGAATTATTGGAGGTATTGAATCAAAGGGACCTAACAGACATCTATAGAACATTCCACCCAAATAGGAAAGAACATTCCTTCTTCTCTGCAGCTCATGGAACCTTCTCGAAAATTGACCACATACTTGATAACAAAGCAAACTTCCACAGATACAAAAAAATATTAGTAACCACCTGTGTCTTGTCAGACCACCATGGACTAAAGTTAGAATTCAACTACAGTGCTACCCCCAGGAAGCCAACAAACTCATGGAAGTTGAACAGTCAACTACTGAATCACCCCTGGGTCAAGGAAGAAATAAAGAAAGAAATTAAACTCTTCCTTGAATTTAATGAAAATAAAGACACAACATACTCACACCTATGGGACACAATGAAAGCAGTGCTAAGAAGAAAGTTCATAGCACTAAGTGCCCAATTGAAGAAAATGGAGAAAGCACACATTGGAGACTTAACAGCACACTTGAAAGCTCTAGAAAAAATAGAAGCTGATTCACCCAGGAGGTCTAGAAGACTGGAAATAATCAAACTGAGGGCTGAAATCAACAAAATACAAACACAGAAAACAATCCAAAGAATCAATGAATCAAAAAGCTGGTTCTTGGAGAAAATCAACAAGATTGACAAACCCCTATCCAAATTAATCAAATGGCAGAGAGTGAACATGCAAATTAATAAGATCAGAAATGAAAAGGGGGGATATAACAACAGACACAGAGGAAATTCAGAGAATCATTAGATCTTACTATGAAAGTTTATATGCCACAAAGTTGGAAAATGTAAAAGAAATGAACATTTTTTTAGATAAGTACCATATACCAAAGTTGAACCAAGACCAGGTGAACAATCTAAATAGACCTGTCAGTCGTGAAGAATTAGAAGCTGTTATCAAAAATCTCCCTACCAAAAAAAGCCCAGGATCAGATGGTTTCAATGCAGAATTCTACCAGAACTTCCAGGAAGAGCTAATACCTATACTCCTTAATGTATTTCACAATATAGAAACAGGAGAATCAT